AGATTGCCCCCTAGGGGGGATGGCCACGCCACAATCCTTTCTCCTCTATTCTTCTCCTGGGATCTTGGGCTAACCTGTCGAGCTCCCTGGCCTGATTTTGAAGCCATTGGATCTGGGACTCAAATCACAGTTGGCCATGTAGGAGTCCAGTGACGTAACTGCTTCACCTCATTCTTTATTGTTTTAAACCTAGCCATTTTAACTAGAGTTAAATGGTATTTCACGGTGGTTATAATTTGCATTTCCCTTTTGAAGAGACTTTGAACATTTTTAATATACTTTTGATTATTCGTAAATCTTCCTTAGAGAGTTGTATATTCAGTTAATTTGCCCATTTTAAAATTCGATTATACATTTTTTTATGGGTGAGCTGCTTGAGTTCCCTGTTTATTCTGGTTATCAATTCCTTATCCGAGGAATAATGTGCAAATATTTTCTCCCATTCTGAGGGTTGTCTTGTTGGAATGTAAATTAGCATGACCTCTGTGGAAAACAATATTGAGGTTCCTCAAAAACCTATAAATAAGGGGCCAGAAGATAGCATGATGGTTAAGGCACTGGATTCCACATGGTCAACTCCGCATTCAAATCCTGGACCTGGTAGCTTAAGAAACACACCAGGTGCATGTGTACATGCCCTAAATCCTGAGAAAAGAATGGAGAAGGGATTGTAGTGTGTTCATTTCCCAGGGGTGATTTCTCACTTTCCCCCTCTCTCTGTCTCTCCTTGTCTCTCTCCATTGAGTGCACGTGCCCTATGGCAAAAATCTAAAAAACAAGCAAACAATCCACCTACAAATAGAACTACCATATGACTCAGTAATCCTACTCCTTGGTATTTACTCAAAGGACAAGAAAACACTCAGTTGGAAAGACACTTGCACAGCCATGTCTATTGCATCTTTATTCATAATTGCTAAGACATGGAATCAACCTAAGTGTCCCAAAACTGATGACCGGGTTGAAAAATTGTGGCACATAAATACTATGGAAAATTAGCCATAAGAAACAATGAGACCCTATCATTTGATTCAAAATGGATTAATATAGAAGACTTAATGTTAAGTGAAGTGAGCCAGACTTTGAAAGATACTGTTTTTCCCCACTCCACATGTACAGAATGTTTGCATTCTATAGCAGAAATGGCAGGATCACAGGATATGATAGTAGAAAGAATAAGTGTAGATATCAGAGATTGTATGGGAGAGAAATGGGTTGTAGAGGGTGGATTGTAGAAGGTGGGTATGAAGTGCAAAGGGAAGAAACATTAAAAGACAAAAGAATGTTAAGTTCTCTGTTAAAAAAATAGTTCTGTATTTTTAAAATAAAAATACTTTTTTTAAATTAAAAAAAGAAATGTGCCAAGTATTTAAAAAAAAAAAAGTCCTCCAAAGTCTGAAAACTACCAAACTTTACCAAGATTAAATAGGTAGCCCAAATGACTCTGTAATATTAAGAAAAGTTGAAACATTTCTGAAAGGAAACTTCCAGGAAACCATCCACCAATGGTTTCATTGGTGAATTCTGCCAAATGTTTAAAGAATAAATAACTATTGTACATTCACTTTGCCAGAGAATAAAAAAGAAGGAATACTTTCCAACTCATATTATAAAGGCAATTACTACCCTGATGTCAACCCCAAAGACAGTAGAGACTAATATGTCTCATCAACATAGATTTAAAAATCCCTGGGCCAGCAGGTGATATACAGGTTAAAGTACTGGATCCCACATGGCTGACAGCTCATTTCAAGTCTCAGACCTTGTGGCTTGAAAAACCCATGGGGTGTGTATGTGTGTGTGCCCAAAGTCCCACGAGAAGAATGGAGGAAAAGGGGTTGAGGGATGGCCTTCCTCCTGGGGAGATGAGTGGGGCGATATCTCACTTTCTAGCTCTTTCTCTGGCAAGGGCACATGCCCTATAGCAAAAACAAACAAACAAAAAACCCTCAACAAAATTTTGGAGGACTGAATCTAGCAACACATAAAAATAATATACCATGACCAATGGGGGTTAGTCCTAGGAATGAAAGAATCTATGATATTGACAGTTTAAAGGAAATCCACATGATCACATCAATGAATGCAGAAAAGGCATTAGACAAAATACATCCGTGACAAACAAACAAACAAACAAACAAAAACTCTCCCAGAAAATGAGACTAGAAGGCAACTTTCTCAACCTGAGGAAGGGCAGAGCATCCACAAAAATTCATACAGCTAACATCATATTAAATACTCAAAGACTGCATGTTTTTCTCTTAAGACTGGAACAAGTAGTTGTGCCATTACTATTCATATTCAATATAGTACTGGCAGTCTAAGTCAGTGCAATAAGTCAAGAAACTGAAATGAGGGGCCGGCAGGTGGCATGGTGGATAAAGGTGCTGGATTAACACATGGCCGACTGCAGTTCGAATCCCAGACCTGGAGGCTTGCTTTCTCACTTTTTCTTTCTCTTTCTCTATCGGTCAAATTAAAAAATAGTAATAACGAATAGAATTAAATAAATAATTCTTTAAAAAATGGAAATGAAAACATAGAGATTGGAAAGGAAGAAATAACTATCTCTATTCACAAAAGATATAGTTATATATCCAAAGAAACCAAGAGAAGCTACAGAAATACTATTAGAACTAATCAGTGAGTTTAGTAAAGCCATCAGATACAAGATGAACCTACAAATGCCAATCATAAATAAGCAATGATCAATTGGAAACAAAGAATAAGAAATGATAATGTTTATAATAGTTCTAAAAATGAAATACTTAGATATAAATCCAACAAAGCATGTGCAAGATCTGCATGCTGAAACACACAAAAAGCTGATGAAAGAAGTTGAAGACCTGGGCCAACCAGTGGTGTGGTAGTTGAGGCAGCTGGATCCCACATGGCTGACTGCACAGTTCAAGTTTAGGATCTGGTAGCTTGAGGAATATACCAGGTACGTGTGTGTGCCTGCCCAGAATACCAAAAGGAGGAGGAGGGATTACAGCATGACCATTTCCCACGGGGGTAGTGCTTTCTTACTTTCTCTCTCTCTCTGGTGAGCAAATGTGCCCTCTGGTAACATTTGGGAAAAAAAATGAAGAAGACCTAACTATTGGAGAGACATGCCATGTTTATGGATTAGAAGACTCAAAAAATAGTGAAGATGCCAATTCTCTCCAAATTATTCTACAGATTTAAAGCAATTCTATTTTTTTTTTTTTTTGGAGAGCTTTTTGCTATAGGGCACGTGCAATCGCCAGACAGACAGAGAGAGACAGAGAGACAGAAAGCGAGAAATCACACCCTAGGGGGCATGGCCACGCCACAATCCTTTCTCCTCCACTCTCCTCTCGGGATCTTGGGCACGCACGCACACGTGCCCGGTGTGAGTTTAAGCCACTGGGTCTGGGACTCGAACTGCGGTCGACTACATGGGAGTCCAGCGACATAGCCATTATGCTAACTGCTGGTCCCAAGCAATTCTAATTAACGTTTTATTAGGATCTTTTGTAAACAGTTATGCTAATTCTAAAATTGATATGGAAGGCCAAAGGAACTGAAATAGCTAAAACAATTTTGAAAAAGAACAAAGTTGGAAAAATCACACTACCCATTTTTTTTTGGGGGGGGTGGTTTGTGGCTTTATTTAGAAACAAATAAAATGTGCACATGAGCTGTTTACACGTTCTTTCCTTTTCCTTTTTTTTGGGGGGGGAGAGGTTTTTTGCTATAGGGTGCATGCGCTTGCCAGAGAGACAGACAGAGACAGAGAGACAGAAAGTGAGAAATCACCCCCCAGGGGGGATGGCCACACCGCAATCCTTTCTCCTTCATTCTCCTCTTGGATCTTGGGCACGCACGCACACGTGCCGGGCGTGAGTTTAAGCCACTGGGTCAGGGAATCGAACCGCAGTCAACTACATGGGAGTCCAGCGACATAGCCATTATGCTAACTGCTGGTCCCTCTACTTGTTTTCTTCACTGCGCAGCCTGGCATTGGGATTGGTGACTCTGATGGCCAGCTGGGCTGCTCGTTCCACGATGGCCTTGCGGTTCTTGGAGGAGACGTTGTGGGCGATCTCAAAACGGTAAGAATTACTGCACATCAGTAGCACTTCCAGCTCCTTGATGTTGTGAACCGGGAACTTATGGAAGCTGCTGGGCAGCATGTGTTATGTTTTCTTGTTGCTCCCATAACCGATGTTGGATATCAAGATCTGGCTCTTGAATCTCTTCCGCATCCTGTTGTCAATATCTCTGGGTTTCCGCCAGTTTTGCACTTAATTTTGACATATTGGTCTGACTGGTGCCGGATGAACTTCTTGGTCCTCTTTTTGACCATCTTCGGTTTCATGAGGGGCCTGAGGGCAGCCACGACGCCTCCACAGCCACCTCCACAGGCAGCGCCAAGGAAGAGAGCACACTACCCAATTTTGAATTTACAGTGACAAAAAGCAGATCAGTGGTTTCCTGGGGAGAGGAGACTGGCAGACAGAGAGGCTGAAGTGCTATCGGTGTGTGTGCTCACTAGAGACACAGAGAGAGAGAAGGATAGAGGAAAAGTGAGAGAGCAGCCCCTGGAGAAATGGCCACATTGCAATCACTTCTACTTCATTTCCTCTTGGAATTTTAGGAATATACGCATATGCACCTGGCATGTTTTCCAAGCCACTTGGTCCGAGACTTGAACTGGGTGGTTAGACATGTGAGATCCAGCTGCCCTGACCACATCACCTGGTTGGCCCCATCAAATTGTGCATTTTAAATATGTACAGGCTCATTATAATTCAATAAAGCTTTTTTTTTTTTTTTTAATTCTTTCTAAAATGTTATATTCCTTTTATATCCAGTAGGTGGCAGTTAGAACAATGAATTTTGCTAGGGAACTTGAATCTTATCCTCTGGCAGTATTTTAGTTTGTAAAATAACATACGGGAAGAGTAATATCAAGATAAGTTAGCATTGAGGTATATTTTGTAATATTATGATGAAAATAAAAAGGCATATAGTTGTAAATAGTCATTAACAAGTTACTATTTATTAGTTTTTGGAAGTTTTAGGTATACTAAGTGTAGAATGCAGAATAAAGAATATAGTCCCTTCTTCCTCTACCCGCCCTCCAGCAATTTGCAGAGTAAAGAGGCTGGTTGACACTTGAACATATCTTTGCATTTCTTTAGTGCCTTTTACAGAAGGCCTTATAAAAACCACATATCATTCCTTGTTAAAAATGTTCTACCTTTTAAAAATTGGAAATTAAATTTAATCTTGTTAATAATAAATTCACTTTATTTTTTCTGACTAGATTGAAATTTCAGCCCCAGAATTTTCTAGTTGCCTTCAAGATTTCTTCCATCAGGAAAGAAGACCTGTCACTCATCCTGCATAGGAATATGGGGCAATTCCTTTGACCCCCAGTCCAGTTATCTGTTGAAAAAGGAAAAAGAGAGAAACTTTGACAAAGGTCATTTATGAGTATTCGTCAAAAGCATTTTTATGATTCATAATAATATACTCAGCCACCTATTATCCTTGCTTTATTTCCTATCATAAAAAGGAATTACTTGGTTAGATATTTATGGCTCAACCTAATTATTCATGTAGATTACAATCTAATCTGTGACAATTTATAACTTAGATTTAAAACTGAATTTATTTCTATTATCTTCCCACTTATTAAGAAAGGAGTTTCTACATTTCTGTATTTCTTTTCATCACAAAAGGACTATGATTTTTATCAGTGTCTGTTTTGTTGTCAAAGCAATGTTAAAAGCTTGAAAATATGCTTATGAAATCAAAACAAACAAGTAACAATCAAAACAATCTTATAAACGTGTTTGAAAATACTGTCTTAAAGCAAAAAAAAAAATGTTTTTAAAGTGTAGGGCAAAGTAGGCTAAACACATAATTTTGAATTTACCAGACGATTTTCCAGAAAATCAAAATAAAATGTTTTTAAATCTAGTATGATGAGCTTGTTAACTAAAATTGTGGTTTGGAAATATGTGAAGGTACTATTTACTCATTTACTTAACCCCTGACCCCATCTCTAAAATAGAAAAATTTTGCTGTGTCACCTTAAAAATTCCACCAGCTTCAGGTTGCTTCAAAAGACCATCAGGGTCTAGTCCATCCCGGGCACAGGTCACATACATTTCAGAGTAATCCTTCCCTCCGAAGCAGCATGAAGTTGTTTTTTCAACAGGCAACTTCACAGTTTGGAGTCTTTTCCCTAGACCACCAAAACATTTTATTTAAAGTTTAGTTCTGTTGGGGCTGGCAGGTGGCATGGTGGTCAAATGGCACTGAACTCCCACATGGCCGACCGCGGTTCGAATCCTGGACCTGGCAGCTTGTTTTCTCGCTTTCTCTCTCTCTCTCACTGTGTCCCTCTCTGGCCAAATTAAAATAAATAAATAAATAAAGGTTAAATAAAATAAATCTTAAAAAAAGTTTAGTTCTAGCAATTCTGAAATTGTGTAACATTTCTGGACCTTTTGCAGAGTAACAGGGAAGTTCTAAGACAATTATGGAGGTCAGAATTCATCCATAAAGGCCAGCCTGGTGGCTAAGGGAATCAGATCTCACCTGGCTAACCACGCGGTTTGAATCCTAACCTTGGCGGCTTGAAAAACACTCCAGGCATGTGTGCATACATGCCCTAAATCCCAACAAGAGGGAGAAATGGAGAAGGGATTGTGGAATGACCACATCCCATTGGGGAGGGTGCTTTCTCTTGCCTCTTCTCTTTCTCTAGTGAGCAAACTCACCCTCAGGCAATTAAAAAATTTCAACCGTATATTTTATCTACCTTCCCTGACAATGTGTTATTTATTTATTTAGAGAGAAATTTTTGCTATAGGCCGCATGTGCTTGCTAGAGAGACAGAGAAAGACAGAAAGCAAGAAATCACTCCCTGGGGGGATGGTCACGCTGCAATCCCTTCTCCTCCATTCTCTTCTCAGGAATTTGGGCATATATGCACACACGCCTGGCGTGAGTTTCAACTGCCGGGTCCAGGACTTGAACTGTGGTCAGCCATGTGGTAGTCTAGCAACATAACCATTATGCTATCTGCTGGTCCCTATTTATTTTTATTTTTAAAAGAAAGTTTGCTTATTTTTTTCCATTAAGTACTATAGAGTGGGGACAGCTGGTGGCATGGTGGTTAAGGTGGCTGGATCCCACATAGCTAACTGTACTTTTTTTCTTTTTCTTTTTTTTTGAGAGGTTTTTGCTATAGGGCGCGTGCACTTGCCAGACAGACAGAGAGAGACATAGAGACAGAAAGCGAGAA